AAATTTAAGAATATATTTAAATTAAGCAAAGTTAATTTAATTGTTAATTGAAGATACGATCATTTTAATTTAAAACTAAACTATCATATGGAAAAATCTAGCTTCTTTTGAATATAAATAGTTGTTTTTATTTTTATATTTAAAATTAATTTTTTTAAATACAACTAATGATTCCTAGTTAATGATAATCAAAAGACATTTTTCCAATAAATATGCAAATTTTTTTGAATTTACTTTTTTAATGCTGTCCAAATAATGTAGTATTCTGTAAAAAAATAATTTTTTATTTAAATGTGAACATAAAACAACTTCGAGTAGAATTGTATTAAATAGCGTCTTAGAACGATTATAAACATGTAGAAGTTAATTTCTTGATCATATAGCTCAATGGTCTAAACGATGAGTAAGTAATACATTGTATGCATGTTCGAATCTAATCCTCATCCTTACATATTTCTATTTAGACTAGTCAGGACTCGTCCACTACACACAAGACTACTAATTGTCCTATGTACCGTCTCTGACGTCCTTTCTTTTTCAGTTTCATAATTCATTTGGGACGGGCGTCGCTGTCGTCCGTCTTGACTAGCCTTTGTCTCAAAAAGTCCTCGTCTAGGACTAGTCTTTGTCTCAAAAAGTCCTCGTCTATGACTAGTCTTTGTCTCAAAAAGTCCTCGTCTAGGATTAGTCTGCACAATGGATAATAATGTTTCATATAAGCCGACTTCGGACAAGTCCTAGACTAGGCCTTCTCAAAAAAAAGACTAGCCTAGACACGTATGATGTCGCCCATCAATCAGGTAATTTAGACAGGGCTTCATGACGGCCAAAAATTCCGGACTAGTCATGTCATAGTCGAATTTGAGACAAAGACCGGGCATGACGGGTCGACATAACTAGAAAAACGACGAGTCTGTTAGTCCGTCTCTTGCTCACTTGGGATACGAAACCGGTAACAACTGATATATTTAAAAACGCGATTATCGTATACTACACCGCGGTATATGAAACCGGTAACAATCGCTGTATTTAATACTGCAGTTATCATGCACTACACCACGGTATATGAAACCGGTAACAACCGCTGTAATTAAAACCGCGGTTATCATGTACCACACCGCGGTATATAAAACCGATAACAATCGCTGTATTTAATACCGTGGTTATTATGTACTACATCGCGGTATACGAAACCGGTGACAACCGCTATATTTTGGAACCGCAGTTATCATGTACTATACCGCGGTATATGAAACCGGCAACAACCGCTGTATTTAATACCGCGGTTATCATGCACTACACCGCGGTATACGAGACCAGTAACAACCATTATATTTAAAACCGCGGTTATCATGTACTATACCGCGGTTATTCAAAGGATACCGCGATTCACCGCGGTTTTCTCCAAAACTTTTTTTCGTGGGTATGCACCATAAACATCTTTGTATTTCTATTCATTCAAATTTATTTAACCATGTCGAATAAAACTACTTCCACTACCATACCATCATCAGGCTCAGGTAAAGTATATTCAGCACAAGTTGATAATGTTCATGTTAAATCAGTTGTTCAAACTGAAACACAATCAATGGCTAGTATTGAAAATACCAAGAAAATAACTAATTGTATGCCTCATCTTGGTAAGTTTAATATGAAACTAAATTAATAAAAAAAGAAATTTTCTGACTAATTTAAGATCCAACACATCTTCAAAGTGACGAATATTCACATAAACTTATTGAAGAAATTAATGAAGCTGGTCTTGAACTAATTAAAATAGTTGTTGGTGAAACACAATTACAACAACAACAACTTCTTGCTGATGCTAATTTACGTACGTCTGATAAATTTCGTTTTTATTTGTTTATAATTTTCTAATTGATTCGAGTTTGTTTTCTTATTTAGAAATTCAAAATGATTTTAAACGTAAATTACCACAACATATTGCGAAACTTGATTCTGAAAAAGAATTTAGTATTCGACACGAACGTTTTCTTAAATCTGCTCATAAATGTTTTAATGATGATCTTTATGAAGATAATTCTTTGAAATTGGTTCATTCAACAACTTTTCTGTTCATTTAATTCTCTCTTTTTTTCCTATAGATGAACATGGATGATTATATGGCTGATGACATCGATATTATTGCCGAGTTGGATGATGGTGAAAATTATGAAACAATTTTTGTAAGTAATATACATCGATTTAATTTGTAAATATGACTAACCTCTTCTATTCTAGCGTCGATACGTGATTGTTCCTATTCCAGCTATTGAACTTGCTCCAACTGCTGAACTTGCTTCAGCTGTTTCAAGTGCTGAACTTGCTCCAGCTGTTCCAATTGCTGAATTTGCTCGAGTTGAACCACGTTGTAATCGACATTATTTTACTTGTGGCATAACTGGTTTATTAATTGGTATAGTTATAATGAAATTGGTGAAATGATTGTTTTTTTTTGTTGTTTTTTGTAAATTTAATCGTGTAAATAATAGATATAATTTATGCAGAGCTGGGCAAAATACTCGAAATACTCGTACTCGAGTACGATTTTGCTCGTACTCGTACTCATACTCGTACTCGAGGGGTTGGTACTCGTACTCATACTCGTACTCGAGGGGTCGGTACTCGTACTGGTACTCGTACTCGAGGGGTTGGTACTCGTACTGGTACTCGTACTCGGGGATATCGGTACTCGTACACGTACTCGAAGCTCTTGTATTTTATAGTTCAGATGTTCAGTATTTTTTATGAAAAATTTCTCTTGATTTGTGTTGTTTGGAAACAGTGTGAACTGTTGATGGCTTCTTTTCAAACAATGTGAATATGCATTTCATCATTTATTCGACAGAAAGTCGTTAAATAGTTGTCATACGCTGTTTTTATTATCCTTTTTGTTAATTCACTTATGCTCCATAAGTAATGCCATATATACAATTGGCGTTTGAATAATTCATCGGTCCTTCCTTCTTTCTTCATTTCATAATGAATAAAATTGATCGTCTTGAAAAGCTTTCTATTTGTTGTTGTGGTTTATATTTGTAATACTTTAGTAAACCCTTCCGAAGGAATTATGCAAGAGTATATGAAAGTCTTCATATATGATAAAAAGGGGTCTACTATACGCTGTACTTGTAAACCCTGATCACGGTTTATGAAAAGTTGTATATGGAGCAAAGGTTTATAATTCCATTCTCTTTTGTAAAAAAACGATCGAAAAGAAGTGTTGAAGTATACGAGGTAGAAATTTGGATACGCTTCATAGGCGAAATCGGCATCATCCCGCCTACCGTTAATAGACCAATGTAGCGATCGATGCTGCTCTAGAGGTAACAAATCGATTTTTACAATGGAATTTCGTTTCCTAGTCAACTCTCGCAAGTTACCAACGTAGATCATGAATCTAGAATATCCGAACGCTCATGAGGTAATATTCGATGTATGGTTTTCTTTCAAAAAGAGCAGCAGTTTCAGTATTAGTGTATTATTATTTTTGTCAAATCAACATTGTATGCATATTTTAGCTAAAGTATTGAAAACAATGAACGTATTGTGACCATGTGATCAAATTAAATATAATGCATTGATATTCCGATCACTGTTATTTTTTGAAAGAAAATCACTTATTGAATATTACCACATAAATGTTCATATGTTTCAGATTCGTGAACCAAGTTGATAACTTGCGAAAGTTCACTAGAAAACTAAATTTCATTGTGACAATCAACCTATTACTGGTAGACCAGCAGTTATTGATAGACTGGTAAATAACTATAAACCGATAAATATACATAGACCGGTTTATTATTCTTAGCCTTGCCGATTTGCTTCAGTCTGAAATTTTCGTGCCAATATCGGTCATTAAAAACTTAGGGAGTGACCCGATGGATGGTAAAGCCTCTCGATCCTTCCATTCCCTCCACAGATCGTGAAAGAAAATTTTATTAATTAACTCAATAATTAATTAATTGATATATAATTAATATCCCATTAGTAACACATTCCTTGATGAACGTGAGAAACAAACTGAGACTCTGTCGCCAGTTGTGCGAGATGTTCTTGATACACAATCGAAAATCGTACATCAAGAACGCATTATCATAATATATGGGTCTGCTTTTTGATTCCACTTCTGGAGAACTAAGTAAAAGCGTGACTTATGTGCCGCAAAACAGATGGATTAAAACGAAAGCTTTGCGAATAAAAAAGAGCAGCTTCATTGTATTTGACATTTTAATCCCACAAGGATTGCACTAACAGTCTTTTTTTTACAGTGTATCCGGAAGGTTGGTACTCGTATTCGTACTCGTAATCGACGGGTTAGTACTCGTACTCGTACTCGGGGGGTTGGTACTCGTACTCATACTCGTACTCGAAGGGTCGGTACTCGTATTCATACTCGTACTCGAGAAAGTGCGTACTTGCCCAGCTCTGAATTTATGTAAGCGAGTATAGCAAACGAAATATTACAGGTTAAAATAGAAGAATAAAAGATTTTCTTTTTCTTTTATATACACAAACTTATTGTGAATGAAAAATGATAACATAAAAAAGTTTGTCAGGTGCGTGGAGAACAACTGTAATAAGAATATTTGTAAAATAGGATATGATTCTGTTTACATTTGTTGAAACATAAAAACAAATCAAATTGAAAATTTTATTTAAAAACGTTTCTTATAAGGTCGAAATAAAACAACACAGAATGCTAATAAATATTACGATACAGACAATTAACTTTTTTCCATATCTCGGAATGCTGCTTGCATACGTTCATTAAGTTCAAGATGATGTTTGATTTTTTCTTCACTAGCTTTAGTTGGATCCTAGGTATTAATTTTAAATATCAAAATAACTGATCAAAGTATATAATAATAGAATTTACCTTAAATTTCATCCTACTTAACTGATGAAGAATATCTCCAAGATTTGTTCGAATATCATTTCATGTTATTTTCTTTTCCGATTAAGCTGTTGTTTCAAGAGCATGTCGAACCAAATCATAAAATGCAATCATATTATGAAGCATTGCAACACATTTCTAAAATGGACAATATCTTTAAATAAAAGAGAAATTAATATTTATACAAATAATGAAAAATCTTTTTTTCTTACTTATCATATGATGAATAACTATTTTGTTGAAGAAAATCCTCTTTTATCGTTTGTGATAGTTCAAGTGTTATTTTATCTGTTTCAATTAATAATGCGTTACCAACAAGTTGTACTAAATCCGAAGGATCCTCGTATAAGATAAATTCTTTTTCCTATTTAGAATAATAAATAAATGATTTTTTATTCTTAAAATGAAATAAAACCTTGATTAAGTCCATTTGGTTTACAAATCCAAACATGACCACCTGAAATATATATATTAACAATATTAAAATAAAATAAATTTAAATTTAAATATCCAAACGTTAATGTATATTAAAAAAAGTATTCCGATCATATTTATCATCTAATTTAAATGTATCAGGTAGAAATTGATTTAATGATGAAAAGTGTGATGGACGTTTGATAAAATTGATTGAAATTTTTTCATATGTTTGTAATGATTGGAATAATTGTAATTTGGTTGTAAAATAATCTTCACCTTGAATATGATTAACCATTTGTTGACCATCTTTAAATAAATTCCAATTAATACATTTTATGGATTGAACCCATTTTATATAAAAATCATCTCGTCTTTCATATTGACCTTCGTAACCAATTGATACAAATATATTTTCAATTCTATTATAAAAAAAATAAAAAAATAAAAAAAATAGTTTATTAATTAAATAAAATAGAAATGTGTATTATTTCCAGGTCCGATATAATATTTCAATATTGATTCTGAATAAAGAGAATTTTCTTTGTAAACTTCACTTTTATTCAAGTTATTTATTATTCGTCTTTCAACTGTTTCAAGATTTGATCGATCATTTTTTATTGTTGATGATTTATCTTCATCCATCTAAATAAATTAGATTTTAATTAATATACTAAATAAATAAAACTTTAAAAAGTAACATTTTTCTATTTGGTAGCTATTTATATATAAATATTGTCAACAAAAAAAACTAATCGGATAAATATAAATTGAATAAAATAATAAATAAATATGATTTAACTAAAATAAAATATTTAATAATAAATAAAAATAAGATGAATAGAAATGTCTCTCTATAGTTATTTAACATAATCATTGATCGAAATAAATCTTATAGATTCTTTTTTAACTATAAAATACAAAAGAAAAGTTAACAATGAGGAGAATTGTTGCTGTTTGCCCTTTTCTCTTTTGCATTCTTTGGCATCCACTTCAAGAGTACACACTATTCACAATCAGTCTTTCTTCCCTCCTCGATTTTTTTTTCTTCACATCTTCACCAACAATAAATATTCATGTCAATAACGACCAAAATTTTTATTTGACTTTTTTTTCTAGTTTTTTATGCTAATTTAACTTTCAATAACCGATTATTAAACAAACAAATTCATTTTATTGACTTTTTTACTTTGATATGATTTTATATTGAATTGACTTTTTTTTTATTTAACGAAAAATAATAAAGATAGTTTATTTTAAAGAAAATATAATTTATTTAATTTATATTGAAATTCTTTCAAACCAAATATTCATTTTTAATTTCTCTTTAAATAATATTTTAATAATTGAATTTATTTTCGATAAAATCATCTCATATATAACGATAGACATCGAAAAAAAAAAACATCAATCTCAAAGATTTAATATGAGATTGTTTTTAATCGAAATTTAAAATAAATGAACATGATATAAATTTTCTCTTAGATATAATCAAAATAAAATCGATTTGCTTATATAGAGTAACAAGGCTTTTCTTAAATTTCATATAAATTTAAAGAAATTCTTAAACAAATCGAAAACAATTTAAATAGATTTTATTCAAATATTTGACACACAAATTTAAAGCTAATTTTATAAATTTAAGTAGAGAATCGAAAACAATATTGAAACGATTTAATCCAATAGAACATATTAAATATATTTTAGACTTTTTCTATCTCGATAAAAGAATAAGAATAGAATTTTATATCTAAAATTGAGTTTAATTATAAATTATCAATATATTATCCCTCTTTTATTCCATATTTACCATAAAAAGATTATCAAGACGATTATAGAGATATTTATTTGATAAATCATTTTAATATCTAAAAATAAATATATTTACTCTTATGTAATCAAATTACTCTTAAATATTCTTATATAAATAATCATTTAAACCATTTATAATAGAACAAACATATTTAACATATGAATATTTACTATTTGATTTGATTTTATTCTTAGAATTATTCATTTTAACAAGATAATTATTTATTATGTTGACAAAATAACATCTATTTAATTGTTTATTATTATACCTGAGCAAAACATCTTTTGATATGCGCACGACATATTTCACTTTATTGAGCAAGAAAATCATTCGCTATGGACACATGTTGAGACAAGACTTGAGACCCTTTTTCGAGTTCAACTACTTGAATTTCTTATTTTATTGCTTGAGTTTTTGTTCATATATGTGTAATGTGCATGACTACTGAAGATCTTCTCTTTTGGAACTTTTCAATCATCTTTACAATATCAATATCGTTAGTCATTAACTATTTAATGTTAAGATTATATAGGCAAGGAAAAATAAAAATATTGATACTATGAATAAATTTTTTTCTTGGAAACATTACCATGTGTTTACCATACAAGAAATAATGACAAATAAATCATTTTTTCTATTAAACAATGCATGAAAGTTATTTGTTCAGGCAACAAAATAAAAGTAGAACTGTGAAATATCATGATGGCTAAACACCCGTCTTACATCTCTCAAAGTTAAACTTTATAGATCTATAAAGAAATATGACAAACGATTGCCTAATGGTGATCAATTTTTAGTATACTTAGTAGATTCCTAAGGTATTAGTTCAAAAGTTAAAATATCATCATAAAAGAAATATATTACAAGCTGCACAAATTAATAGAGCAAGTCCGTCTCGATCATAAACAACTGATATTAACATTCAATTGAATTTCTTCATCTCCCATAGTTTTATTTTTCTAACGCATTAAATTAATTTTTATTATATTCTATACATGCTTTTCTTTTCTTCTTTCTCAACCCCATGTTCAAAAACGATTCTATTTCCAATAAAAATTTAGTTTAAATAAAAAGCATCTTAATATACAGATCTGAAAGGAAGCTCAGAGGAGAGATCAGCCTCAAACAGCATAAATGGTGGAGAGCATTACTTTCGTCTTAAATAGTTTTGATTTTATTGCTTTCCATTTAATCTTTTCGGTAATGCTCATTACTATAATTATCATGTGTTCAGCGCATCATTTGTTTTGATTATATCTATAAGTCATGCAAGCATTCAAGTGATTGTCAATGGAAAGGAAGTCATGCGCTCTGAAACAAATGTTGAGATCTGCATATGTCAAGAAGGTGAAAAAAAAGTTCGACTCGGGATAATTTATTATTCTTTGATATACTTGTTTGCTAAATAAATCATTTAAAAAATTGTTGATTATATATAAACAAAGATCTATGAATGATATTTGAATCGATGAAATAATCATATGATTTAATAGTTAACATATGAAAATAATCATCGAAAAAAAACAAATCTAGTCATCACTGACGAGTAGATTATAACAATTGATTATTAAAGATAAATATAATTAATTCTATAATCGAAATAATTCGATCGTTAATCATCTTCAATATAAAATATATATCTATCGAACATGATTAATTGTGAACTCGAATCAGTTTATATAATAATCAAAATTTTTATATATTTATTTTCTATTTGAAATTTATAATCAAATCATAAAAACTATCCGTTTGTTTTTTTTTTATTATATCTATAAAACGATGATCAATATTTCATAATAAACAATTTAAAAAGAAAAAAATCTTCTTCTAACATATATCATAAACAAAACATAAAATAAATCTTTATTATATTAGATAAATTAATATTTATTGAATATTTTTTTTTAACGAAATTCCATAAGAGTTTATCTATCAAAATACATAAATTAATATAATTATTCGAATAAAAAAAATTATTTAAAAAAACAAGATAAATTCTTCGAGCTAAGATAACTCGAACTAGTATTCATATGTTAGATCAATTTATTTCTTTCTTTTTCAAACAAATTCAATTAATTTATTTTAAAGAATATAAATATTCTCTTTGATAACACTTTATTTCAAACAATGAAATAAAACAAACAATTTAAATAAATTAGTTTCATTCAGTTGAATATATTATTTATTATAAAAATCGATATTTTTACTAATTATTTTCATATAAACAAGATATATTATATTATATAAGATATGTTCACCTTATTTATTTTTGGCAGTTATTTATTACTATTTATTTTATTGCTAATCGAGTTTTTAACGATATATTTTACAGAGAACTTCTATCAATAAATAAATCAATTCAATTAGCTTTTTTGACAAATATATTCAGAGAAAAAAGAATACTAAGGTTAGAAATGGAAGATTTATCATAGAAAACAATTTTATCGTTTTTATTGTTTTCGTGTCATTTTGTTTGATTGACAGATTTTTAAATTATCTTCTATCGTTTTAGTTTTTTTTTCAATGAAAAGAATAAATAATGATAGACTAGTCTAGTTCTCATCTAACCTTTCTATTAAATATTGATATCAATTTTGATTAAATAAATAAAATAATTCATTCAATAAAAATTTCGTTAAGTCATTTTGAAATCGATTATATCTTAATTAAATATATATTATTATATATTTTTATCGTTTAAAATAACAAATCTATTTCTATAATAATATTATTATTTTATATTGAAATTGTTTATTACTAAATCTATAATATATTTCGAATAAAAACAATATTAACAAATCACTTATCAACTCCATATGACAATTATTTAGACTATTATTTATTTCATTTTCAATAATTTGTTTTTTTTTTATATTTTAATAAACAGACGAAACTTTTTTTTGTTCGAAACAATTAAAAGAAGAATTTTTTTCCATGAAAAAAAAAAAAGATCTAAATAGTTGCTTAAATAGGTGAAAATTTGTAAAATTATTAAATAATATCTATTTCGAATAAAATTGTTAATATGTTTTATCTATTGGTTTGAAATAAAATAAAATTCTAATATTGTTTTTATTTCAAAATAAAATCATTTTGAGAATTGTTTTAAGAATTAAACGAAGGAGATAATAAATATATCTTATATGAATTGATATCTTTATTATTCAATTGAGATAAATAACGAGTAGCGTTCTCTTTTATTTATTTATAAAAAATGATTTTAAAAAATCTTATTGGTTTCGAAATATTCTATCTTTGTTCGGTTGAGTTGAGTTAATCAATTAAATCAATCGAGAATATTTATATATATTTATAGAAAAAGATTTCAAAAGAGAATATTTTAATTAAAATAAATTATTTATTATTGTTTATCGTTAAGTTAAATAAAGTATAAATTAATCTTAATATAATTCTATATTTAATATCGATAACTATTATTTTAATTATTTATTTCAATATGATTAAATCAATGTTATCATTGAATAATTCAAAATAAAAAAACAATATTTATTAATGAGATAAGATTTTTTATTTTAAAATAAATCTATTTAACTAAATAAAATATTTTATTTTAATATTATAGTTAAGAGAGTTTTTATTTCTCTTAATAATGATTTATTCTTAAAGAAATTTTATTTCTATAGATAATAAATGAATCAGTATATATATTTATAAATGATAATCGACAATTGAATTCGAAATAATTTTTTTTTTTTTATTGAATAACTCAAACAATTGTCGATAAATGTTCTACTATTGTTATTAAATAAGATCTTGATCAGAACGAATATCTAACATAAATATATTATTATATATAGAAATTATTTATTTTTATTTAGAAATATTAATTATAGAAAATTTATTTAATATATAGTTATTATAAATATCGGGTTTTTTTTTCGTATATTTAATCGAGATTTGAGATCTTTATCTTATTATATAAACATTGAATATATAGTAAGAAATTTTTAATCTCT